TGTATTCTTCTAAAATGTATCAGCTCAGAATAATGTAATATTCAATATAAATTAGTACCTAGGTATTACATCAATCTACTTTATCTTTATAAAAAGAATAAAGATATAAAAGTATAGAACACAGATTAAAACATGTGTGTAGTATAAGTAAGTAACATATAGTTCATATAAAATATAATAATGTAGGTACCTATAAGGCTATAATCAAAAATGTCTTATTTACCTTTATTGTGATAAATTCTAGCAGTATTAGCAGTCGCTGTGTGCAAACCAGGAAGAGGAAAATGTGTTGTCATTTTTTGTTTTGATGTTAATTTAAACAGATCCATAGTGGCAGATGGTATCTTTATGTTTTCATTTGTCACAGGTTTTTGGTTTAAACCTTTAAAATAAAACGATAGCTYGATACAAATATTTCCATTCACTCATACTTGAATTGATTATTGCAATAACAAATAAATCGTATAAATTTTACCTAATTTCATGCGTAAATTTTTTTGCGCTTCTTCATATCCGCTGATTTCCGACAATCCAGTGTGTAGCATAGCCAACAATAACATTAAAGTAATCATTGTATCTACATTAAAAACAATTTACAAGTATACTTACATTGATAATGCACAATAAACACAATATTTAAAATTTTAAGTATAACCATTAGTAAATGAGATATTTTAAATCATAACTTTATATTATGTATTATAATCATATTATTTAAACACTATAAAATTCTAAATATGACGTTAATTTTTCATTAATTATTAAATTATAAAAATGTTACATTTAACAATGGAAGCATCGGTGTCCAAAGAGTATGCGTTGTTCTATTATTATTTATTTATTTATTGCGCATTTATGCCATAAAAAAAACGTGGATTCACGTTTGTGGTCTGTTATAATAGTGGTCCGAAGAATTATATCAATATTTAAATTGTTAATTATAATAATATATCCAGTTATCTATGTTACTGATTGTTATTTCTTGAACCATATTTTATATAATATAGGTACCATACAGAATATTGATAGAATAATAAAGGATAATTTCGTTTTCAATTGAATTTTTATTTTTTATTTTTGATAAGGTTTATATTAAGTAGGTATCATATAAATTTTATTTTTTGTGATATTACTGKGTAACGGATTTCAATGCTAATCGAATTTTTTCTCTGAATGTCCGAAAACATTTAAACATTTCTTTTCAAGCACAAAATTCATTTCTAACATCAATTAATTTTAAAAATTTAACTTTTATTTTATATTTTTGAAAGATTTGTGTATTTTTATGTTTTTAAGTCATTTTTACATAAAAAAGAATAAAATTTGATAAAKATGTATTTAAAATCGGTTCTAAAATAATATTTATTTTACCTCAGCGTACTTCTGTTTTTATTATTTGTTATGTTTTTACCAATAACATTTTCAGTGCAAAAAGAAGATCAAGAAAATGAACAGCTAATACAAAAGCAAAACGCAAAACACATTTTTTCAATGATATATAGAATTTTAAAAGCATTTCAGTTATGAGTGCATTAAATCATATTTTTTTAAATGTATATTTCCCCAGTTTTTAGGAGCATTTAAATCTGTTCCTTAGTTATTACTATACCTAATATATAGCATTATAGCAATATGTTACTTACTAATGTATTAAAATATTTGATAATTTTCTATTATTGAGTCAATACATTTGTTATTATCAGTAGAGGTTGAAGAGAGGGGAATGAAGTGCCTCAATTTTCAACTTAACATTTAAAATTAAGTATTTAAAAGGGGAAAGTAGGTACCAGTAACCACTCTGCTTTATCTAAAGTATACCTAGAGATCGAATAGCCGCTGTAACATGTGTGTTAAATTGTATTTCAATTGAAYGTAAATCAGGCAAAGACGCAATAGTGACTTAATAGAGATAAAAATTGGCCATAAGTAATTTTTGAAATTTAAAAAAAAAAATTAAAAACTAATGTATGAAAATACATCTATCATTATACCTCTTTAGGTACCCATAAATACATAACTTAATCAAAAAGTTACTTTTTTACTCTTCAAATTAAT